CCGCCCACTCTTACTTAACCCCCCGCTGGCCAACCCACTTTTGTGCATTCTCCAGCTGTCGCTAATGTAATTAAATCGCAATGCTGTCGGAGGCCGAGCCTTTTTTACTTTTCGGACAATAAAATTTATGCACTCGACTGGTGGAAAGGGACTAAGAGTGAAAGGGTGAGGAGAAAGTGTTAGGCGGAGTTAAAGGATCTGCAAAATGGTGGACAAAATGGCATGGCCAGCTGGCAATCTGTGGCCTAATCGCAGCTCCAAAGGGGCTGGCAACTACACTGGGTATAAAAGGGGCCACAAAGGGGGCCAAAAAGGTGGCTAGAAAGGGGTAAGCAAGGGGATGAGGTGGCGAGGTGTGCATAAAGGATAATTGCAAGGACCGTTGTGACGCCTGAACCCTATAGCGTTCAGCATTCACACTAATGCCATAAAAACCAACCAAACAAATTATTCTGTTAGTGTGAGTTTAAGTGTGAATCCATGTGTGGGTATGCGTGTGAGTTTTGTGGTATGTGTGACAGGTTCCAAACAATAGAAACAGCAACAGAAACAAAGGCCGACAAGCACAAGGAAGACGGCAAATGCAAGAACCACAAAAAAAATAATGACAAAACTGGCCATAAAACTGAAAGGCTGGGGAATGGAAATGAAGGGGTGCACATGGGGTAATATAGACGAAGGGGAAATTGCAGGAGGAAAAGCAACAGTAGTCGAGAAAAAAGTGGTCCGCACAGTGGGTAAATTGGGATAATCTGGGAAATAAAGTTAAACGAGGTCATACAAAACATCCACCATTGAAACCAATACGGATTCCTTTAAGCAACATGCCATTAAATGTCATCGAATGACCCGCAATACTCCACTTTTCACCCACTGTGCGATGCCCAAGCGGAAATGAAAGTTTTGCGGAATTGCAACCACATTTGCATGTGTGCCAGTGCATTTAGTTAATGGACTAGTTTTGTTATATCCCTTGGAGGTCCCCCATCCAAGGTCTCCTCTCTTTCTTTCGGCTAACAAATCCACTTAGGAGGCCTATTTTCGGGACTGCGGTCGACCGCACAAATTCAAATCAATCAACGACAGGCTCCCCGCTTTTCTAATTTTTTTTCCGGTTTCGTTTTCGTTTTGGCTTTTGGGCCAACTTACAACTGTAAATGCTGCACGGCTAATTGGCCAGGGGTGGGGGCCAAAGTGGGTGGTCGTTTCAGCCACCTCATCAATCATCGAGAAACACGGACCGCCTGCCGGAAAAAAGGAGCCCTATCCGATTCCGAATCCGAATCCCAATCCCGATTCCTTTGTTTCCCTGCCGGCTTGTTGACATTTCAGGTTGAGTTGTCAGCTCCCAAAAGCAAAGCCCCAAAATTCTCAATACAAGACATAGTCCCTTCCGCATTTTCGATACTTTGTTGCCTCTGCCCGTCTCCTTTTGTTTGGCTTTCAAATAAAAATCAAAAAATCATTAATTAAATTGTAAGTTACCTCCTGGCCAGCCATTTTTTTGTTTGTTGTGAAACAACGATTGGCGGTTGATGTTGACGCTTATAATATATCATTCTTGATCGAGCTCATAAATAATTGGGCAATCAGGGCACGGAGATGTTGCTGTCAATCAGCAATGAAATATTCATTTCCTAACGATATTATTATTTGATTTGGCGTTTTGAGTGCTTTATTAGTCAGAGACTCGCTGTCGGTGTTATTTGCTGAGTACTTCACTTGGTGTAGCTACAAATATGTTCATAGAACTCAACTTACCTTTAAGTTTATATATACTATATGAACTATATGCTGATAAGCAGATGTAAATCAAAGTTGAAAAGGGTTCAAGTGTCGGCTTGAATATTCAGAGACATCTGTTGAGCTGACGTCGCAGCATAGAAGGACATAGTTTACACATTTATTGTAATCTCATTTTGCGGGGAAATTGTTCCGGGAAAACCTTGCTCCCAATCTGATTTCACCCACACGGCTCCCAGGCTCCAGTTGACATCTCTCCCGCATTCCCGCATTCCCGCTTCAGTTGCGCTGCCAAATCGTGTTAACGGATGCCAGGATGCCATGATGCCATGATGCCATGATGCGGTGGGCGGTGAGCCAAATGCAATGACATCCGAGACGAGATGGCAGCAATGCAATGCGCGGCTTAAAAGCAACTCGAATCGCTGCCGGACAAAAATGGCCAAGGCAAATTGCAAAACTTTTTGAGCCAGCTTTGAATGCGATTAAGTGTCGCAGTCGCGGAGAAACAGCGGCGTAACCACACATGAGCGATTCTAAGCCATCCTCAACCATCCCGCGCCAAACCGACCACCCCAACCAGCCCAACCAGCCCAACCAGCCCACACCCTGTAAAAATGTGGTGATGCGCTGACTAAATGGCAAAATCAAGCACGCACACAAAGACAGCCGCCAGGTTTTCTTTGGGCCAAGGAACTGGCCATATGTTGGTTGTAATATAAATAATTAACCCAAAAATTTAATGCTCATCCGTGCTTAAGATCATAAGATTTACCCGTGTTATTGAGATACATCTTCAACTTGAAGTTATGGCGCAATGCGGTATTATATACTTTCATCGTAAGTGTTGGCTTCTTAATGCTGTTCTCTTAATGTAAAGTGTAAAATAAATTCCGTTCCAGTAAAAAAATGCATTCTTAAATGCGTATTGAATATGCAAAATACCAAATATGTATTTATTGTTTAAGCTTTAATATAAAATGCAAATTGCAAACTCGAACACCTGGCGTGTTGTATTCATTTCAAACATATTTATTAATGTCTACATGTTGTCGCAATGAATATGCAAACTAAAGCCGGCCCACAAATAAAAACACTGACCTGGATAACGTGGCGTATGTGTAATATTTTCATGCCACCCCAAAAGTTATAATTTGTTGTTTTTAATCATAATAAATACATGTAAAATGTAAGCCCACAGAGTGGCTATCAAATGTGTTATGTGTTATATTCTTGCCCAACCAAAAGTTATAATTTGCGGTTTAAACATTATTTTCGAGTAATTAAGTTAGAGCTTGACCAATTTAGTTCTCAGAGGGAGGTTCAAGGGAGTGGTTCAACCCAATTTTCGGTTGCAAACGCTGAGGCTGCTCCTTTGCCACCATTTTTCCAGCAACAGTCAATTGCAGAACGTAGCGAGATAGCCGCTTGAACCACACATATAGAGCCACCCACCTACTTCAGTTTTTCCTTTTTCCCTTTTTTGTTTTTTTGTTTTTTGATTTTGCTTCAGTCACGGCAACTGTTGACACTATAAAGTAGCAAGCGTTGTTGTTGTCCTTGTTGCAGTCGTAAAACGTGCTCCACATGTGTGTGTGGGTGTGTGTGTGTGAGCCAGTGGGCTTGCGTGCCAGTGTGTGTGTGTGTGTATCACATAAATATGCATTTCCCATTTTCCAACGGCAGTAGAGCCATCGAGCCATTGCATGCGAATATTTTTATACATATTCATTGGCTTGGCCATGTCCATGTCAATGTGGGTTAGTGTGCTTTTCTCCTGCCCCTGCATCGCTATTCCTCCTGTTTTTCCCCTTGGACTTTCCCCGCATTTTCCAGTTCCCGTCGTCTGGCACCTGCGACATGCAACTTGGGCCAGGAATGGCGTGCCTGCCACATTTGCATTTGTCAGCTGTGAGGAGACTCCACTTCCCCATCTCCTCGGTATTACCTTCCAGTTTCCCCACCTTCCACATAATGTCAATACAAAATATGGCCAAATGAGTTCCTTTGAGCATCTGCTCAACGAATACTTTGTGAGCTACTTTGTATTTTGATATTTGCTCGTTGCAAAGCATTCGGTATTTAAAACTACAGCATTACAATATCACACAATCGATTGAAGCGATCAATTTATCAACCAATTTATTACTTTATAAAATATTTTCCCATTTAACTAGTGTCTGGAATTTAAGTTCCGCATAAATTCCCAACAGAGGGCGCCTCAAATGCCACTAATAAAATCACCCAAAGGTAAAACGAATGTTTGTGCAAAACAAAAAAAGAGAAAGGCAAAGGAAAACAAGCGAAATGGCAAACAGCAAATAAATAGTAAAACAACCAGTCAGACTTAATCGCATAGTAAAGGGCTGGTCTGCAGGTCGATGCCAGTTACACGTGCGATGCCATGTCCGTGTCCGTATATATGTCTGTCCGTATAGATGTCTGTCCGTATGTCTGCGTTTCCATGTCCGTGTCTATGTCCCTGCCATGCGATGCCAGCGCGTGGTTTACACATGTTACCTGCTTACCCGAAGACTTGAATTCGAATTTGAACTCGTACCTGTAACAAATTCAGCCATAACAACCGCCATTAGGCGACTCAGGGACTTGAAATGATGGGCGCTATCCGTATATATAAACAGGTACTTGAATTAACTCTGTTTCCGTGCGTGTTCCATACCCTTTTTAATAGTACAGCGTATACCCTCTTTAAAAAAGAATTGCGAATTGGCCCAGTAAAAATAGTATAATTTTAAATACAAACATTTCCTTATAAACAAAGTGCGGAATTGTACATCGTATTTGGGTACAGTTTATTACTAAGTACCTCTACCAACTGACAACTGACTGCACCAATTCAGCCAAAAGTGAGTGGGCGGCTGGCAGTCAATAAAACGATTTTGATTATGAATGACAACATTTGAAATGTTCCAATTACGCTCAAATATTTTGATAAACTTCCACGCCAAAAACCCAATAGACTGACTTACTGACTGACTGACAATGACAAATTTGTCGTTGGCCATTTTCCGAGGAATTTGTGAAGTGGAAATGCAGGCTCTTTTATGCCAAAACAATCGTGCATAAATTGGTGAAAAGGCGAATCTATTCAGGATAACAGGATGACGTTTGTTTGAGTATGTGCTTGTTTTGGGTAAATGATTTATTAATAATAGTAGAAGATAGATGCCAATATTTTTGCCTAAATGTTACAGATTACCCATTAACTTATGCCTTTTCTATGGTCTTTTTTCCAGCGGACAGCTCGTTTCTTTTGGCTAACGCACAAATCGTCGATTTCCCGATCGTCTACTGCAATGAGTCCTTCTGCAAGATCAGCGGCTATAACCGTGCCGAGGTCATGCAGAAGTCGTGCAGGTATGTGTACGTATTGCCGATTTATACTCACTTCAACTACTTTCGCTCTCTTCTCGCTGGTATTGGTGTTTACTCCGTTTGAATAATCGGTGCTTATATTGTTAATCCCCAAATGACTATTGATATGTGTAACTATATACTCGTATTTATTGGTGTCCTTGATGTCGCGGCTTAACTGCCGTTAACGGTGGCTTATGTTGATTTATTACCATACTCGTGTACCTATGTGGTTGTCAATTATTATACCTTTTTTGTATGTATGCAACGAAAACAGATTATGCTTAAGCACATTTGTTAATTTTTACTTAGTTTTACTGGTTCTTCTTCTCCAGATTTCATAGCACTTATCCTTCATGTTTAACATCATCACTTTTACTTTCTTCAGTTGGACTTTTAATCAAGTTACAGTTGCATGCTCATTTCTTAGGCAAATATTAGCTTTTGAGCCGTGCTGCTCAAACTGTAAGCTGCACAGTTGCTGCAGGTGGAAAATGGGTGAGTAGAGGAGGCGGAATAGCGGGGGCGTGGCAGACAGACAGGGCAGTTACTCTTCTGGACATTTTCCCTTGGGAGGCTTCAGGCTAAGAGGATTTGCCCGAGACTGCAGCAGATTTCCTGCCCCTCATGTCCCATTAACAACTCGTTCACGCACCTGACCTGCCTCATCCGGAAAAACCCCGCCGCCCCCATGTTTTCCACAATTTTCCACCGTGTTTATCTGCTTAACGGCTTATCCGCAGCTGCTTACACCCGTCCATTGAATGTGAAGTTCATTTATTGTTCCCGCTGCTTTATTCGCAAATATTTTTCTGTTTTTTTCTAATTATTTGCGCATATTCTTGCCAGCCATTAAAAACCATTGTCGAACTTAATGCACTTTGCTGCTCAACGAACTTAATGCAGAGGGACAGGAAGGCTTTTCCTAATATTTAATTTTTTCCTGTAATTGGAAAACATGCCACAAAGTATCAAAAAGACGCAGCCGTAAAAATCTTAGAACGGCAAGGAGTATGCATTTTTGTAAGACAAAACGCTTATTAACATGGAAATATAAAAATAAGTAGTGAAATGCAATATTAGGTCCAAATTTATGCAACATTACCAACAGTAATGTTGCCTGTTTAAACAGGCGAAGAATTATGTTGTTAGTTTTGGCGTAATTTAATCTTTTGGTTTTCCAAAAACAGAGATGAAAATGAATAACAAACTGCGCTAATTTCTCTAAAATACATCATGAATATCCGAATCAGCATACCAAAACTGTTAAGGTAATGTGAATCCCCCCGGTAAAGTTGGTTTAATTTTTGCGCGGGAAATTGGTCTACTTTTTCCCTAACCCGTTTTTCTTTTGTGCCTACCGCTTGCGTTTCCATTTCCCGTTACACTGTTGCAAATTGCCTGCCGGTGGTCTTGGCCAAACAAATTTTCTATGCAATCCTTTGGTGAATTCATGTGATGGGGAGTGAGAGAGAGAGGCACAGAGAAAGGGAGGGATGGCTATAACAAAAAAATAAAGATAGGGAGCAATAGTGTTAACAGCATTTGTTTGCCTGAATTTGGCGAGAACTTTTGATGGTCGTGAACTCGGTCTCTCAACCTATTTTTTTCTGCTTTCGCCGAAGGCCGTCTCTCTCTACTCCATCTCCATCTATCTCTTTCGCCCACCAGCCTCATAAATCAACAAGCGGCGGCCCAGAGGCCAGCGTATCCAATGATTCTCCCGAGAATTGCTTGTAATTTGCAGGCCAAAAAAGCGGCCCTAAAAAGAATAGTACGGTTCGTTCGTCAGCTCACCTGCTGCAGCATCAGCGGTCCCCAAAATTCCCCAGGTGGAAAAAAATACAAGTTTTTAATGCCAATCTGTCGTTTAGCTAGCACCACTGCCATCTCTTTCGCTCGCTGGGCCCATTTGTCTGACCCTCTCTTTCGTTCGCTCATTCCGTCAGTGTTGTTGTTGCTGTGACCCACTTTTGTTGTTGTCCACCTTTTTGTTTGTTTCTGTTTTCTGGTCGCGTGTGATCCAAAAGACACAAAAAGACTAGTAATGAAACAAGAGGAATGACGACCAAAGGCAACAAGAAAGCATTGACCAGCAGAAAAAAGCCCAAAAAGAAGGAAAGGAAAACAGAAGAAAGTGAACGAAGAAATGCAAAAAAATCAAAGGAACCGTTTGGTTTTCTTTTAACATTTGCTTCAATGCAATTTCTTTTGGCGCAACGCAAATCGCTTTTCGTTCCTCAAGTTTCCTGTACAGTAGAAGCTCGCTAGAGGATATTCTATTACTAAAATGCCCAATAATAAATTGCCAATCAATGAAATATTTAGATATATCTAGACCATTTAGCTAAGGCCTAAAAAATTTTTTGTAAATGTCAAAAAGACCAACACGGTGGTCGACTTAATCCTCTATGAAAATGTTTAGCAATTTCAAAAGGGATTCGATATAACACAAGAATTCAAAATAATAATTCCTCCTATTAATTTCACATTCCTCAAATTCTTAAGAATTTCATGGCATAATTTTTCGCGCCGCGAAAAGGGTTTTGAAATCACTTAAGTGCATTTTCACCTAGTAAAGCCTTTGCGTACGGCTCTCCAGTATATGTTAGATTGAATTAGGGATTTTCGTTGAGTGCTTTTCCCTGGACCCCCTAGAAAATAATAGAATTTCGAGTGCTCGTCGAGGGCTTTTACTGTGTTCCTTCCACCCATGAGCACATAAACACTTTGTGCATCCATATCTGTACGTACACATACGTATATCTATATCTATGGCCATATCCCGAATCCAGGACCTGTTTTTTGTTTGCTTTGTAACCCAATTTCGTGTTTTGCCCCTGTGTGTGTGTGCCTGTGTGCGAACACAAAGTACACACACATTAACGAGCCCGTGACGTCGCCGTTTCGTAGTTTGTTGAACTTTTGTTCGGGGCACGAATAAAGCAAAACAACAGAAATTAACTACTGCCCCTCCATCTCCACTTCCCGTCTTGCTTACACACTTTTGCTTCGGCAGCGTTCTCGTTTCCCTTCGTTCGCCACTGACGTCATCGCGCCTCTGCCGAAAAGTATGCAACACTTTTTGTGCGGCACTGCAAGTGATTCCCTGTCCCGATTTTGCGCTGACTTTTCCAAGTCAACACACATAGGCACCGAAACTTTAGTCCCCTGCTTAACCCAGAAAATCGATCATTAATTATTAGTTTTTCATTGGGAAAGCGAACGGAAAATAATACATTCAACAAAAGGCATCCAGGAATTATGCATAAGGAAGCCAACCAGCGTGGTTGTAGTTATCAACTTTTCGTTGGGAAAAGGCCGGCAAAAGTTTTCCACGCATAACTTTCGGCCGTATGTTGGGAATATCAAATTTCCGAATGCAGCATTTGATTTCAAAAATCCAGGTAAAGGCAACACTGTCAGAAAAGAGTGCGCTTTTAGTAAATGAACAACAATTCTTCAAAGTTTCAGTATTGTTTAAAAGCGAACATCGCGCATCAAAGGGTATTTTTGACTCAAAACCAAATGCCATATGTTTTCTTCAACTCAAGGCACTCTTTAGGTATTTCTGCTACTCCTTGACCTAATATAATATATAAATTATTGACCTGAGTCCCAAGGAAATGTGAGACCCCAGCGGTTGAGCAGCGGTGCATTAAATTGATATTTGCTTAATACTTTTTGCTGTGTGCAGTGAAGCTTCTTCGTATTTTTACCCGATGGGCCCCAGGTGCATCAATCTTGTTTTGTTCGGCATGTTTTGCTCGAATTGGAACGCTTTCTGTTTTCCCATTTTCCGCTGCATGTGTTTGCCCTGGCGTCCATGTGTGTGTTTTATGTCTTTCTTTTTCACATAGGTTTGTGTGTGTGTGTGTGTGTGTGCATTTGCGGCATGCAACCAATGTAAAGCTAACCAAGAATAAAACCTCGTCCGCTCTCCGCATCTCTTTCTATTTCTTCTGGCATCTCCATCCCGGCAACCTGGCATCCTGGCATCCTGGCATCATGGCATCCTGGCATCCACACTCACATCCCTGGAAAACCCCTGCAGATGCGGCTTCATGTATGGCGAGCTGACAGACAAGGAGACGGTGGGACGGCTGGAGTACACGCTGGAGAACCAGCAGCAGGATCAATTCGAGATTTTGCTCTACAAGAAGAACAGTGAGTATGCTTCGGTGCACTGGCCTTTGACCCAGTACGTATGATCGATTGTTGTGCCAAATTGCCTGCGCATAATGGACGAAAGTTGAAGCTAATGCAATACCCAAATCAAAGTCTCCTGCCTTAGAAAGGACCACTTATGGTAGAAACAGCTGCTTTTGCAAGGGAATGTTTATTAAAACAGAAATGACAGCCTATAAATCTTTCGACATGTAACCAAAATATTAATTCTGCGGCCTATTCTGCAGCTAATTTGTGCCCAAAGTCCCAATGTTCTTTCTACAAGTTTGCACCAATTTCGAATCCAAATTAATCTTTTATCCGCCACTGTAGGCTATTTGGCTTTATGCTCGAGTTGTGCCCATTGTAAATTGTTCATTTCGTGAATTTCTGACTCCGAACCTTTCATAATTCATTCCCAAACAGCCCCCCAAGCCCCCCCAAGCCCTTCGAACCCCTTTGAATTCTATTTGCAAGTGTGCACAACCCTCTGCCTTTGCCGCCTGCCAACCCGTAATGCCAACAAATTGGGGCTGCGATGGCAGCCCGCCGGCACTTTTGAGTGGGGCCCATCAATCAAGCTGCCAGCCCGAGCAGTCCGACCAAACACCTGTAGTATTTGCCCATATCCGTCCAATCCCAGATCCCCAAACGCAAACGCCCCAATCCCGGCCAAATCAAGTGGAATCGATAGAAGCTCCCCAGCGAGTATCGCCAGACATTTTTGGGTGTCGAGCTCATGAATTAACGCCTTCGAGTATCAATTTTCAGATCTGCAGTGTGGCTGCGCCCTCTCGCAGTTTGGCAAGGCACAAACCCAAGGTATTGAAAAGGGGTACATTTTAGGGGATGGGTGCCACCTTCCACTGGTAGCGCACCAGCGGAATTTTCCGAGTGGAAATACTACTGCCGCCATGGTTTCCTTCTCGATTCACGTCTTGGCAGTCTGCCCGCAGCAATATTTCCACATCCTGTTGCATATGCGGTCAGAAATAAGGGGGAAATATGGGTTGGGGGCATTAAATTGGCATAAATCAATTGTAAAATATGGGAAAGTGCAACATCTGGCGCACTTCGATTGCTTTCAAACCAAACTGAGAAGCAAAATATTTGCTTCGATTCGGATTTGGGCCAAGGAGAGCCCCACCACCGAAGAACAACAATGGCTGAATATCCCAATGACAGGTGTCCCCTGGCACTTGGATATAGAGAGACCACATTAATCCAGTCAGTTCCTATCAATCCCGGCATCGGAAGAAGTATACGCTTAGAATAGGAACGTATATATGCTGAAACAATGACCGCAAATAAACATTCACCGGAAACGGAAGTAACAAATTGTGCTTGCAATTGGTGAATAATTATGCCAGCACATACAAACGCACACGTACACACAATCGGAAGGAAGGAGAGAGAGTTGTCCTTTAATGGCAATTACCAAAATTGTGGTCGTTAGCAGTACGTGTGGAAAATAAATAAGTCCTTGGCAATTAAAACTAATGTACTAGCTGCAGATCCCTTTAATAACTAATTAGCCAAAATATTCAAAAAATGTGCACATACATACTCGTATGCATACCGAAATGGATAGCTCTGATCAAGAAGATACTCTATAAAACGTATAAAATAGAAAAGAATACTATAATAATAAATGTATTTTCATATTAAATTCATTAAATGTGTCGCCTTTGCTTAAACAATGATGGCTGCATAAAAGTATTTCAATACCACTGAAAACGAATGATTTGCATTGGCAAACCCATCGACTGCCTCGACAATCAGTGTTCTCATTGAATTATTCGTGCGCAGAGACAAAGGACAAGCAGTTTCAGCTGTTGCACACATATGGAGCGCACTGTACCATGTCGATTTACTTACATGCCGACCATTGTGTCTGAATGCAGCATGGAGCATTCCGAATCCAGCCTCCATTAACCAGCGTTCCATATCAATAATTACAATCCAATGAAATGTCTGTCTGTGTCCCCACTGTTGCCATCTCCGTCCGACGTGGTGACCCCAATGCGAATGGAATTACCCATATGTATATATGGATATTAATACATGCGTATATCCTGTGTTTGTACTCCCACCCCTTTAGCAACGTCATTGCGCCGCACTTACCTATAGCTGTTATTAATTCCGACTCGCATTCCCACAGAAACCCCATTATGGCTGCTGCTACAGGTCGCACCCATACGGAACGAACGCGACCTGGTGGTGCTCTTCCTGCTGACCTTCCGGGACATCACGGCCCTCAAGCAGCCCATCGACAGCGAGGACACCAAGGGAGGTAAGTGAAGGCTCCACAGTTCTCTTTTTAGGAAATCACCCATGGAACACGGTTGCTTGATGAAAGTGTTAAAAACGCAATGAATATAGTTTCCAAAAATGCAACATCTTTGGCATATAAAAGAATTAAGATTGATTGTTTTAGTCAGCATTAGCAGCCGTGATTCATGATTGTTTGCACCTCTATGTGAATGCGGCCGTCTCTTTCGCCTCACTACTCAACTTATCTGCTCTCTCTTTCCATGTCTACACACACAATCACACACGCACCCACAATCACAACACCCACCTGTAAATACGCTTGAACAAATTGAAAACCAACAACCCGAAACCCCGAAAAAATCGAAAAACAAACCCAATTTGCTGTGACAACACTCTCTATATTGCTCATATATATATATATTTATATTCCACTTTATATACCTTGTATTTGTTAACCTTTGTGCTGGATTTTTACTGTTTCGATGCACTGTTTGTTTATCGGTGTTCGTGTGCGTGTGCCAACCTCGTAGCGGTTAATCTATTTTTGCCAGTTTTAGGTCTCTCGAAGTTCGCCAAGTTGGCAAGATCGGTGACCCGGAGTCGCCAGTTCAGCGCCCATCTGCCCACACTGAAGGATCCCACGAAGCAGTCCAATCTGGCGCACGTGAGTCCTGGTTCTGCTGCATCTTTCTGCCCATATTATTGCCTACTCGTTTCTTGTGCATACACAGATGATGTCCTTAAGCGCGGATATCATGCCACAGTACCGGCAGGAAGCGCCCAAAACGCCGCCACACATACTCCTGCATTATTGTGCATTTAAGGCCATTTGGGACTGGGTGATATTGTGTTTAACATTTTATACAGCCATCATGGTGAGTGGATAACTGCCTTCCAGAGGTCAATAGTGACTAATGTATATCCTTTTGATGATAATTGGCTCTTGTTGATAAAATCCTTTCTAAAATAACTTTTTTAGCCAAGTATCCCTAGTTCAAAATCTTATTCAGGAAGACCTGCTCCACATTAAAGCGCAATTTCATTGCGTTTACATTGATAGCATCATCATCATCTTTTTCCCATCAGCAAACATGCTGTCTAACCAGCGATTGTGAAATATTTCATGACTTGGCCTGGTTTTTGGACACAGGTGTTGGCAGGGGAAAGGGTTGGAAGGAATGGGATTATCGGGGAGAGACTTCTCCATACTCCCATACAGATTCAGCTTGCCACAAGGCCGCATGCGATGCCCATTCATAAGCCGATGTCGTCTGTCTGCTCGAATTGTGTCTATTTCCGTCAACAAGATGTTAACATTTTCGCTTAAATTGCGCCCAACATAAGTTGGCATCCGCACACGTGTGGATTGGGATTTGTATTCGGTTCTGGGTGCAAATAACCATCGCTTCCCTCCAAGAACTACTGGGATATACTTGTACAGCAGCCAAAAAGAGAGTTGCAATTCTCGTTTAGCTTCTTGTTCTCATGTTGCAACTTTTCGTTTACTTATTGTTTAATGATATTTTGCGGCATAAGTTGTTTGTCCCTGGGTGTTTCTATATATTTGGTTTTCCAGCTTGTTGTTGTTCGCTATTGTGGCTGTCGCAACTTTGGGATAAATGTATGTATAGCCAGCGACAAATCAAAACTTTGTCTGCAACTACGCCAATACAAATTGCGCACAAAAAAGCTGGAAAGCTAAGTGATATTTCAGCCAGGTGGCCAAGGGATTTGGGAATATACAAGCGACTTAAAGTTGACGTAGAAGGAAATCTATTTTAAGTCGTTTAAAAGTACAACAAAAGCTGGCAATGGTAATTACTTACACTACATGGCTTTGAGCAACAAGAGCCTTTAGGAACTAAAGCTTAAATAATTTAGTAAATGTTTAGTATATGTTAACATCAAACTAGTTAAGCTTGTAGAGAATAGCTTGTACTGTAAATTGGTGAACAAAAGTATAGAATTTGCCTGCCCTTCTTCGCATCACGACCAATTAGAAAGTTTACAGGTGTGTGTGCGTGTGTCTGTGCCTGTACAGTAACCGCCCGCTATCACCTACAATTAGGAAAATACACTCCAATCGGATCCGAAAGCGCTCGTCGCTTGGGCTCAGCCTCAAGTGAACAGTTCAGACAACGACCCTTTGTCAGACATTAATGTTTGGTTCCCATCCCATCCAGGCAAAGCCGGCAAGGAGGACGAAAAGCTGGGCCAGAGATGGCAGCAGACAAGTGCACACATTTACATGACCAAGTGGCTGCTCAGACGACGAGTCCTTCCACCTCATCATCCACATCCACATCCCCATACCCATTCTGCTGCTATTGCGGCCTCAAAGAGGGCGGCTTATGCTCCATGTGCTTAAATTAATATGCTCGGTCGGCGGAGGATGAGGACTTGGCAGGACATAAGCAGCGGCATTCGAGGCTTGTAATCCAACCTCCGACCAGGACAAGCCAAGCCACGTTAAGAGGCTTCTAACTGCCACTTGGGGCAACAGTTAAGACAACACAAAATAGACGGGTCTGTGGTGGGGCAGCAGTTCCATTTGTTGCTCAGGTGATGGAACCGGTAGTGAGCCACCTCGTCGCTCACAGACTGACAGATCAGTCTTAAACTATTCTATATTGTATGCAAGAACACAAAAAACTAGCTACTTTGGCTTATTGGGAGTCATTAGAAGTAAAGCAATTTAATATGTAAGGTTTCTATAATAGGTATTATGGGTCGTATGAGTAATGTGGTGCGGATGAACAGCTCGTTGCTAATACGCACTGTTGACTACCCTTTTTTTATACTTTTGTAACAAGGTTCTAAAACTACAAATTACAAATTTTTTCTTACTTTTCATACCTTTTTCCAGGTGCCATACAATGTAGCGTTTAAAAACAAAACCTCAGAGGATGTTTCCCTGCTCGTGGTCGATTCAATAGTCGACGTTATATTCTTTATAGATATTGGTGAGTTGGCCAAATACTCCATTGTACCTTACTAATACCTCTGCACAGTTTTAAACTTCCATACAACGTTCGTGGGTCCCGGTGGCGAGGTTGTCAGTGACCCCAAGGTGATCCGAATGAACTACCTAAAGTCGTGGTTCATTATCGACCTGCTGAGCTGCCTGCCGTACGACGTGTTCAATGCGTTCGATCGGGATGAGGACGGTATCGGTTCCCTGTTCAGTGCCCTCAAGGTCGTCCGCCTTCTGCGTCTGGGGAGGGTGGTGCGAAAACTGGACCGCTACCTGGAGTACGGTGCGGCGATGCTGATCCTGCTGCTCTGCTTCTACATGCTGGTGGCCCATTGGCTAGCCTGCATATGGTACTCGATTGGTCGCAGCGATGCGGATAATGGGGTTAGTATGATATTTCGCAACACATGTACTCGATCTAAATCACTTGTGAACCATTCTGTTTCAGATCCAGTACAGCTGGCTGTGGAAGCTGGCGAATGTCACCCAGTCACCGTACTCGTATATATGGAGTAATGACACCGGGCCAGAGTTGGTCAATGGGCCGTCACGAAAAAGCATGTACGTGACGGCCCTATATTTCACCATGACCTGCATGACCTCGGTAAGTGTGTGTGTGGCTGTGGATGATCCTTTGTAATCATTGCCGCCAACTAAATAATCCCTTAACTGTTCACTATTCCATTTCCTCATATGATTGTTCTCTTTTTTGTACAGGTGGGCTTCGGCAATGTCGCCGCGGAGACAGACAACGAGAAGGTGTTCACCATCTGCATGATGATCATTGCAGGTGCTGTGTCCTTAACACGTTCCGTTGCCGCGTCCAAGTTTCTTGATATTCCCGCACACGCGTCACGCTTTTGAATTCCGGTTCCGATCTCTCGATCTCGATTCCGATTTCATTTGAAAGCTAGGCCATCCGCTTGCGCCGCTAGAACTAATAAATCGCTGCAGTTATTTGGTGTAGAGCCTGATTACGATTCGTAGCCCATGTCCATTTGTCCATGTCCTAGTAGAGCAACTCACTCGCATTCTCACAATGTCAATCATTGATTGATCGCAGCCAGAATCAAGTGTCAAATCTTTTTCTCCACCCTTCTTCTGCTCCGTCGTCATCTAGTTACACAATTCGTGGCCATGTGTGAGTTGCATTGTGTATTCCTCTCTACTCGTTGTCCGTAACTCGTTACTTGTTATACGTAAATCGGCAATCGTAACGCATGATCCGTAATTGTAACTCGTTGGGCGAACTCGTTACTCATTAATAGTAACTAATCATAAGTCGTTGATATTAATTTTTTTTATGTAACCTGTTATTCGGTACTCTTTATCTATAACTCGTTATTTGCAACGCGTACCTTTTCTGCTGTACTGTAGTACATATCGAACAAAGTCAGTAAGAAAAAATGATGTCGAACACTGCGCATGACTAGCACTTCAACAAAAGCGAAAGAAAACTGCCATCGTAGAGCTGATCCTGCGCAGTATTTCGCTCATGTCACTCACCATCCCGCTCCCACTTCCTCCCTTTTCCTACAACTCACCTGTTTGTCTCTGTCTAACTGTGTGCTCGTCCAATCTGTGGAATTTATTACTGTTCTAGCCGCGCACCTGTGCGTCTCTTCTTCCACAGCGCGTAGCATCAGCGAATACTGATAACACACACCCTATAACTGTCTAATTCACACATATCACACGCACACTTCGTGTACACGCAGAGAAAAAATAATACCAAAAGTACTAAGTATTTTAACTTGTTGATCTGTACTGCCAAAGATTTTTTAATTTACTCCATTGTACAGTTGATTTGATTTCATTAGTTGAGATTCACAAATAAAATTCTTAGTTTGTGGTAACTTCTTCTCTGTGCACTCTCACACATCTCAAGTGTTATCTAGCTGATCGTGTAAAGTTTGCTTTGAATGGAACCCCAAAAACTACGAGCTCTTCAACTTTGTGTGCACCGCCGTCGCTTAATCTGAATGTTTCATCACGTTTCTCTCTTTCTCTCCATCTAAAAATCCTCAACGATATAGCTCTGCTGTATGCCACGATCTTTGGCCACGTTACCACTATTATCCAGCAGATGACGTCAGCCACGGCCAAGTACCACGACATGCTGAACAATGTGCGCGAGTTCATGAAGCTGCACGAGGTGCCGAAGGCTCTCAGCGAAAGAGTGATGGACTATGTCGTCTCCACCTGGGCCATGACCAAGGGTCTGGATACGGAGAAGGTAAGTTCCTGATACGACACAACTAACCAAAAGGATCTTCTGGGGAGCGAAATTGCCTTGAGCCTTTTTTCGTTGCCAAACCAGCTTTTAGCTTTCAGAATCATTCATTTTGGCATTGTGTCAGATGGATCAAGGATGCATTTTCCCATTTATGTGTCTCATTTACAAACGCTTTTGTCTATAAAGTCAATGCGCTGGAACTGCGTTCCATTTGTACATAGCTGGCTTCTCTACAGAGCTTGGCATACTTCAGCCTATCACTATCTCTAATGCACTCGGCATACGCACACATACATGACATACATTAAACAATTGCTCCTTACTCGTTACTAGTCACTCGTCAATCGCTACTAAATTTTCCACATACAACTGGTTTTTGTTCAAATATTTTTTTAATCTTCTGTGCGCATTTCATATGTATTTTGATGTTTATAAAACGACCACTACATAAATGGATTTCGTCAGTTTATTATTTCGGTATTATACTAATTAGGTTCCATTATCTGAAAATAAATTTATTGGTTGGTCAATCGTTTTTCATAAGCAGCTTCACACACACAATTTCACTGTACACCAATTACTCGTACGTCAAACTAAAGACACCACAATTCTCGTTAATTGTTATTCGCTACCTCACATGACACCTGTACTATTTCTCTCTCTCCAAAAACTGTTCGACACAAAATCTTTGGTCGCTGCTGTCGCGCTTTCTTTTTCTATTATTTTGAAGTTGCTACTCGCATTTCCTTAGGCCTAAGATCAAGCCCCTAAAAATCAAATAGCCCAAAGTCCCAGCCCACCCACAGAGCAAGGTCCTGGTGATGGGTCCGAGGTAAGCTGTGGGTGGCCGCAAAAATTGAAAACTAATATCTGAAAAAGTGCGGAATCACCCAAATAGCTCTATTCATCTAACGCATTCATCTTTAACAGAACTCAGCTAATCGATCTATCTTTTCATTCTCTCCATGTGTCTGCCCGCGAGCGAGATCCGTGCCAAAACGAAAAGCGTCCGTCAAATTCATGCCGTTAGATGAACCTGAACCAAACGGCGCAGCGTCCCCTAGAAAGCTATGAACCTATTACCCTGATCACAGAAATAACACAAATCAGGGGTCGTTTGCGCCCGAAATTTTGATAGTATATAAAACCGTGTTTGGTTCACAGAGAGAAACATAGTTTACAACCGGTCTAAGCCGTATAAACTGACCTTTATAACTATCTCGTTGACTGTAGTTTGTGCCGCAATTAGGAGACCACAAAAATCCCCGTCCTTGAAACCCAAAATAAAATTGTGATGTTAATTCCCTGAAAATTGGAAATAGCACTCAATTACACTCATACAACCACACACACACACAAACAGTCACAGACGAAAACACTAAAAAATAAACAGGAGACACCCACACTGACACTCGATCAATGTTGTATGTGTATTAGTGTATGTGTGCGTGTGTGTGCGTGTCCCGTTAGCCACTAGAGCTGAAGAATTCCGCCCAGAGAGTCAAATAATCTGGGTGGAAAACCTCCGTGGTGGTCCGCAGTTTTTAAGTTCCCACTCAGAAAGGTGTTTTTCAAATAATCCAAATACACCAATATCGATTGCAATCGCTTCGATTCGATTAGTCTCGAATCGAAGCCTATCGAACCGCCACTCGCAACTCGTTCACAATTCGCAGGTACTAAACTATTGTCCGAAAGATATGAAGGCTGACATATGTGTTCATCTAAATCGCAAAGTATTTAACGAGCATCCGGCATTTCGTCTGGCCTCGGATGGTTGTCTCCGGGCACTGGCGATGCACTTCATGATGTCGCACTCGGCGCCGGGGGATCTGCTCTATCACACCGGCGAGAGCATCGATAGCCTATGCTTCATCGTCACCGGCAGCCTGGAGGTGATACAAGACGACGAGGTTGTGGCAATATTGGGTGAGTTACGCGGTCTAGCAAATCGATTCGATTTCCCCTACTTCCCCACAGCAGAAACCGCAGAACTATCTACGTCGATTGTTTCGATTATTTCGATAACGGAGGTCAGTGCATTTGGAGGTATCAGGTAAAATGACTAAGCCCATATCACTTAAATTGAACTTAAATGTTCCAAGGCATCGATTTTTTCGATTACCGATCAAATTCGGTATACTTTATGCTTAATAACCCAAGGAGCGCAAAAACGTGATGTATCGGTTATATGTTTTAAGAAAGTGACACGGGACAATCGATATCGGCAATAGATCTGCGGCCCTAACTTGAACCATACTGCACACTGAGAACACTTTCTTTGCAGGCAAGGGCGACGTCTTCGGCGATCAATTCTGGAAGGACTCGGCCGTTGGCCAGAGTGCGGCCAATGTGCGTGCTCTGACCTATTGTGATTTGCATGCCATCAAACGTGATAAATTGCTCGAAGTCCTCGATTTTTATTCGGCATTTGCGAATAGCTTTGCACGCAATCTGGTGCTCACCTACAATCTCAGACATCGACTGATTTTTCGCAAGGTGGCCGATGTGAAGCGCGAAAAAGAATTGGCCGAACGGCGTAAGAACGAGCCGCAATTGCCCCAGAATCAGGACCATCTTGTCCGGAAGATCTTCTCCAAATTCCGTCGCACTCCGCAGGTCCAAGCGGGCAGTAAGGAGCTCGTCGGCGGATCCGGCCAAAGTGATGTCGAGAAGGGTGACGGCGAGGTGGAGCGAACTAAGGTGAGCCCTTGGGATTGCAGTGTCCCTCTTTGTCTCTCTATCTCTCTCTGTTGCTGTGCATTCTGCTTTCTGTGTTATGCGTTCCATTTTCAGTGTTTCGTTGTTGTTATTTAATGTTCCATTTTCATGTTTTCATGTTGTTGTGTTCATTGGGTAGTTCTGTGCGGTTTACTCAAGTTCTTTGGGCTTGTTCGATAAGAAGGAGTATTTTAAGTACTGCTATACGGACGATCTTAACTTCTAACAACCGACCAAAATCAATATTTTGAATTTATATACATATATATATGAAAAAACACAGTAGGCGTAATTGCAACATTACGTTTAATGATGTTTTCAAAGAGATTTATAAAACCAAAGACTTATCACCTTATCGCACAACCGCAGAAGGTACTTGTATAATTTTATGTTATGTTAAAATACTTTGTTCCTTTTCGGTTGGCTCAAAATCACCACGGTGCGAACCCGTTCCGTTGCCATTCTTCACAGTTAACCGAACTAATGTTTCTTTCGAAGCCTCAGCCTCACAATCCACCAATCACAGCTCCAGCCAGAGTCCAAGCCCCCAGGCGAACTGAAACACCCGGGCACTGAAACACGAGCGGTGGGGCAACTGTTTGCCGTTTACCGTTAACTGTTAACTGTTTACAGTAGTTAATAACCGTTGTATTGCTTAACTAATGTTGTTTACTATTGAAGCGAAAAACTGATTACAAAAGTGACTTATGCTCGTTGTATGTCTTTCTTTGTCTCTGTCTTTCTTTTACATGCTTACGCATAATGCATATAACTGTTCACAATTCACCCCGAAAACACGAAATCAACCACACATACTCACCACCCACGAAAACACCCACTACGAACACAACTGTACCTTTCGCTTTGTATATACCATATTCTGCTTTGATTCCTTACGGTTTATGTTGTGAATTTGGCTAAAATACAATTGATATGAAATTAAACAAAATTACTAACGGAAAATTCTGTATTATTACCCTCAAATCCGAATCGAAAATTTCCCATTTCCTGCAACCCCTGCGCTTTTAAAAACACCCCCCAAATCCCCCACACTTTCTCTTTCTTTTCTCTTTCTCCCCGAAAATTTGTTGATCGCCAAACGCCTGATATGATATGATAATGCTTGCTCGGTAAAATGCTCGATAATGCCCCCTTGCCAAAATTAATCGAATAAATCGACAACCAAAAATGCAACAACATATACAAGAAGCTACCAGCCAAACTGACACTGACCGAGGACGCTCGCATCCTCAGCACCGCCGCGGCGCCCTCGCCATCGCCATCCCCATCGCCCTCATCGGGTCCACCATCTGCGCGCAGTACACGGGCCAGCAAGTGGGGACGCCTCCTGGGCAGTTCAAGCGTCGATTCAGCTAGCGACACCAGCGCCAAGGTAGCCGTCTCGAGAAGTTTGAGCGCCCGCGAAAGCCTCCGAGAGAGCACCGCCCAAGCGCGGCAGAGTAGTACTTCGAGTAGCAATGGTGGACAAGGCAACAAAGTAATTATGCGCTTTATCAATCGGATCTGAATCGGATCTGGGATCTGAGTAGCCGCTATACGGTATCCAGAGACCGCGATCTGGCATTCAGCAAGAAACGAAACATACACTCAGAGACACAGGCATTCGAATCTAAGCAACTAAATTTGTAATTTGATTGGAATAGCTTGATTCCAGTGACGCTATTGTAAGAATTTACCCAAAATTCTCTAATGGTTTTTAACCACCGAAAATTTGATCTGCTCGCGTATACGTAATTTTTGTAGTTCTGATCGGTGGAATCAAGCTATATATTACATACTACGTTTGAAAGTCTGCCCTAAAGCCACTATATAAAACTAGACCAAATAATGAAATTAGATTACTATCAATTGTCCGAAAATTAAATTTGAAACAGGCCTTCAAACGTAGTAACATTCACGAAACAAGTATACCAAAACAGACATGTCGCGGAATAATGCTAAAATGCATGTTTGTTGGGGTTTCCCGAATTTAATGATAACTCTGTCTCTCCTTTTTTTTTGCCTTTCGTTTGCTCTTCTCACTTCCGGTTACGTAATCGATATCAATGCGGTTACTCAATCATTTTCCGTTCATTTTCTCAATTATCATTTCGTATTTCTCCATTTTGAAATTGTGCAATCGAATTGAATAGCATTTACAATTAAGCAAAGTAAGTGTACGAACAATTAGTTTGTTTAACCGCTATTTTAGTTGGCTGTACTGTACCACTCTGGCACACAAAACACTGTTATCGGTTCGACAATCGATAGGCAAATGGGCGGGCAAATGGCAATCGTAATAATCGTAATGTTCATCAGTTCATCAAATTTATTGCACTGTGCGTAATTATTGTACTTAAACGCTCTAAAGTCCATTCGATTATAGATGTATTATATATAAATGAACCGCAATAAGGCCCGCCCATTGCCGAAACATAAGTCCCTGCACCATGCCCACCGCCCTTCAAGAAATACACCCAGCAAACTGCCTTTAGATTGTTTATACTGCAATGATCCCGAACCAAATTGATATATTTTTTCGATCTTTTCCGTTTACTGTTGACTTTTCTCTCTGTCTCGCAACTAAAACTCGAAATTGAAATAATATCATTGCCTGCCTTGCTGCAACAACTCAAAATTGATTCCGAATTGGAAAACCAACAACTGCAACTTGAAAATAAATTGGATTAATATACAATGCACTGCACTCTGCCAATCTGCAATAAAACTACAATCCTGCAACGAATTAAATGCCTCAACAATCAATCAATCAATCAATGAACCAACCAACCAACCAAATCAATCAACAATGAAACCACAAAACTGATAACCCGAATTTCGAAAACGAAACCAAAAAAACCAACTCAAACACAATTTTTCTCACTTTTCTCCCCTGCCGAACCGAACAAAAAACATGCAACATGCAACAACCTGCCACCCCGCCTGTCTATCCCGCATTTGCATCCGCATCTCCGCATCGCCCATTGTTCCATTAAACGTCACCTCCAGGTTTTTCCCAAGGCGCCCAAGCTGCAGGCTAGCCAGGCGACTCTGGCCCGCCAGGACACCATCGACGAGGGTGGCGAGGTGGACTCCTCGCCGCCAAGTCGCGACAGTCGCGTGGTCATCGAGGGTGCAGCCTCGGCCACCGTGGGACCATCGCCGCCAGTGGCCGCCACATCCACGGCGTCGGCGGGAGCAGCTTCTGGAGTAACTGGAGCACCAGGAAGTGGAGCCACTGTGGTGGCCATTGTCACCAAAGGGGATCGCAATCTGGCCTTGGAGCGGGAGCGCCAAATCGAGATGGCCAGCTCGAGGGCCACCACATCGGATACCTACGATACTGGGCTGCGCGAGACGCCGCCCACGCTGGCGCAGCGCGATCTCATCGCCACCGTGCTGGACATGAAGGTGGATGTGCGGCTGGAGCTGCAGCGCATGCAGCAGCGAATTGGCCGCATCGAGGATCTGCTGGGCGAGCTGGTCAAGCGGCTGGCACCAGGTGCCGGTACCGGTGCCACCGCTCCGGATAACAGCAGTGGCCAGACCACGCCCGGCGACGAGATTTGCGCGGGCTGCGGCGCGGGCGGCGGCACACCCACAACACCGGCCCCCCCAACATCTGTGGTAACCAGCCCAGTGGACACTGTGATAACCATTTCATCGCCAGGAGCATCAGTATCGGGATCGGGATCGGGAGCAGGAGCAGGAGTAGCTGGCGCTGGTGGCGCTGGTCTGCTAAATCCGGGCGCCACAGTTGTGTCGAGCGCGGGAGGCAACGGCCTGGGGCCACTGATGCTCAAGAAGCGACGCTCGAAGAGCAGGAAAGCACCGGCGCCTCCTAAGCAGACACTCGCCTCGACGGCCGGCACCGCGACCGCAGCTCCAGCGGGCGTTGCCGGATCTGGTATGACGTCATCGGCGCCAGCGTCAGCGGATCAGCAGCAACAGCAACTGGCGGCGGATCAATCGCCCACAACGCCTGGAGCGGAACTACTGCATCTGCGCCTGCTCGAGGAGGACTTTACGGCGGCCCAACTGCCATCGGCACCGTCTGGTGGCGCCGGAGGAGCTGGAGGATCCGGCTCCGGTGCCACGCCCACAACACCGCCACCGGCCACAACGGGGGGCAGTGGAAGCGGCACGCCCACCAGCACCACAGCCACGACCACACCCACAGGCAGCGGTACAACAATGCGCGGCAAGCTGGACTTCCTGTAGCCCACGACGATCGGAAAGGAGCGCAGAGGGGAGGAGCCGGTATCCAGCCAGGAGCAATAATACAAAATCGGGGAGTAGGGGCCCAGCCACGCCCACTCGCAAGCCTACGCCTACGCTTAGTTAGTCTAAATACTTAAGATACAGCTGTAACCTCAACTCAACACTGAAACTAGCTCATCTATCTCAAACACTTGAAAGTCCACTGCAAAGTATTTATCCAAAGATTACGGAAAGCTTTCCACTAGGAGTAGTTGAAATGCCGTTTTGAAAATCCGATTTTTAAATGTTCAAATCTCTGTGTACAAAACAAACATCTAAATACTCATATTATTGAACACAGTCGATTTAGGATTGCAATTGTTTGAATTTAATTAATTGATATTTCATTTGAAGGTTAGATAACATAGCTTGAAAATAATTCTCTACATATATATATCATTTACTTAAATGTGAGTAGTATTCAAATACTTATTTCGTAGTACCTAAAAGCTTTCTGGTGATATTCTCAAACCTGTTTAATATATCATTACCTACGATTATGATATTTTTTACTAAGTTATCGTTAATTGAACATTTTTTTAAATTAGATAGGAAAAACGTGTTTTGGATGAAAATCTTACTTTTTTGTTGCATAGATCTCGGCCTAGTGATATCCCTGTCTCTCACAAACACACACACAAACACACACACACACTCTGAATGGAAGTGCTCGATACTCGATATTCACAACTCTATAACCGTTACATGATTATGATTATGACTATGATTACGGTAGCGTTAGCCATAATGATAACGATTACGATTAGGGCAAGCATATTGCTTACGAATTTGCTACATTTACTGCAATAATTTACCTTTTTATGTATACACATATATACAAACGTTGTAAAGGACACACAGACAGAGACACACTCCCATTTATATATATGTATATATATATAGCTGTATGTATATATGGATAATTTTGTGATAACTGCTAAAGGAGGCAAAGAACCAGAAGAATAAGCTTACAAACCGAAACATGCCCGCGAATTGTACATAGCCTAAACTAAAGCCTAACTATAGAAAGGACCCAACAGGGATCCCATCCACACACACACACACGCGCACTCACTCACTCACTCACAGATACCAAGCTAACGAACAAAGTGTAAATAGATACATGTATGGATATAGCCCGTCCTAACTAACTAAACTAACTAACTTAACGAAACTCGGCTTGAGCACTCGGCACTCGCACTCGCTTGGCTCCCTATATGGTAGGCTTATAGTCTCGAAAACGATAACGAAAACTCAACTCAACCAAATAGTTTACTCAGCAACAGTAAAGCTTAAGTAAAACCAAAAAGATATAGACAGCAGATATGTGGCCGCTAAACGAAACGACAATCGACAGACCTAAGAAAGAAAAAATTTAAAAAATACTAAGACCCAACAAAAAAATTAAGATGGAAATAGCATAATCTGTAGTTACAAGCAAGGATCAAATATGATTTCTTCGGGCATTGTAAATACTTGAATTAAAATTAGCAAAATATGTTACCACACGCCACTCACCAACACTAACCAACAAACAAAACCTACACACATATTTTGTGATAAAAAAAAGACATTAGCTAATGAAAAACGAAACTATTTGAAAAGTTTAGACAAAAAAATGAACCTAGATATTTGTTTATGCTGGCATTTGATAGGCTTGCACTTGGCATATAGTTTATACCGGAGTAATACGAGATGTACTCTTCGGTTTGGTTAAGCAGGAGATTGAGGAATATGAGGAGTACGATTATCCTTGGGCAGTTTATAGGCAAGGTTTCATTACGTTTAAGTCGCCAGAGACATAGCATCCGTCAGTTGGAGTCCACTTGAATCTCGTTCGGTTACCGTTTTGATTACCTAGTTGGTATATGATAATTATTCGATATATTCGATATTTGATATTTGATACCTATGATACCTAGCGTAGAGAGAGGGCAGAACCGGAAGACCCGACTACGGATACTTGCATACATACGAACTGTCTTCCCTGTATAGTTGGGGGAGTTAGGAGGGGTGGGGCCTGCATAAGCGGGATTCGGAGTTCGGGTTTCGGGGTTCTGTCCGCGAAAGTTACTTAGTTCTAGTTGTAGATTTTTTCAATTCCCATTCCCAAGAGGGCGCCAGCCCATCCCCGTTTAACCAAATTAAACCAAAAAGCAATTCAAGTGGTATTAAACCTGAGTAACCAACACTCAATCAGAGCGGTCAGTCACTAACACCCACTCCCTTTGCATATACGTATTTCCAATACTCAACAAAGAATCAAAAGTTAATGGATAGCGGAATAAACATTTGTTGCATATGTTTAGGCTTTAAGTTCTAGTTGAAAGTTTAAAGAATGTAGCGGGCTCACTGTAAATAGGTTTTTTTTAATAACATTAAATCAAATATACCTAAACATAAATATATATAAAACTAATTAGTAACGAATAATTAGGCAGCAAACCAACTGAGTAAGGAAAGCTAAGACGCACTAGGCCGCAAATGGGAAGCGATAAGACGCAGGTTTACCGAAAGTCCTCATATGAAGATACGATAGCACTGATACGATAGCAGTTTAGTATTCATACTGGTTCTCGAGCTCATATTGTTTGACCCTATCTCTCGCCAATCTCTCTCTCTCTCTCTCACTCACTCCTCTATGTCTGTCTCTCGCTTTCGCCCCATCATTTGCATTCTTTTCGGGTAGTAAGACCCTACTACACAGAGCCTTATAAATATAACCTAAAGTAACTAAACCAACTCAAGCAGCATTCAGCAAACTAGCAACGCAGACCTAATACTGAACCTAGCATTAGCATTACAAGTGAACGAAAACGTGAAACTAAAAATGGTGCAATTACAATTTTTAGATCAAGCTGAGCGAGCAATTTAGTCGAAATTTATATTGAAAAATTTATGGGAAAAGGAAAGTTTGCGGATTTATATATGCGAGTCTCATGTATATACACCCAGACAGGAAAAATGTTATGCAACTGAAGAATAAGAGCCCCCATTTCTAGTCCCAGATAAGAGTAGTCATGATGTTCTGGCCTTCGATTTCGCCTAGAAAACGCCCGATTCAGTCTGATATTTATACAGATCGCCAGATGGTAGGCTATTGAAGGTCAGTTCCGGATGGGGCTTAGGTTTGGGCTTGGGTTTGGGTTCGGGTTCGGGTCCGGGTTCGGGTCCGTCTGCTGGAATATTTTCTGAGCGGCGCCAAAGAAACTGATTAACCATATTATTATTATTATAGATATGTATGTACATGTATATATGTGTACCTCTAGTTACAGATAACGACGACAACCTATCAAAATTAAGCTTTTATACGCCAGAATTTTTTTCTAAACAACTAAAAACAAAAGGAAAGTAAACTAAACAAACTTAAAGAAACACTCAAGAATATACACAACTAATGCAAGCCAGAGAAGAGAGCATAATTAACTCACAACACTCAATTAACGAATACCGTTTACAAAAAAGCCCCAAGTGAAAACTAAATTAATTTAAATATACATTATACAATGATAGAAAAAAGCCTTAACCAAGTAAACACGCGCCTCATTTTCGTTGTTCCATTTATTACGTAAGTCCCACAGCAATTATAAAAAAGAAAATTAAGAAATCCCAAAAATATTACGGCTAAACCAAACATCATAAATATACTGAAAATACCGAACAAAAATATTTAGCATTATGCTCTAGACTCTAGACGAAAAAGAACCAAAATTTTACAACAAAATGAAAGAACAAACGCGATCAAGCAATGTTAAACATTTTCCACCAATTTGAGAAGCATAGTTGCTAAAATACCAAAAAAAAAAACCTAAAAAGAGAAACCGAAACTTATTTCGTACACGCGCCCTTTGTTTTTAAAATCGAAAAGCTGCCTATTTATATATTTACAAACAAACAAACAAACGAAATGAAATGAAATGAACATGTAAGAGGAATACCATTTAACTACAAATTAAACAAGCCACTAAAATACTACATAATTCAATTGCAACATTCCATGTAATGAAAAAATACCAATAATAATACAAGCATGTAAAAATAGTTTGAAATCAATTGAGTTTTGGTTCAACGCGCCGAAAACTTAGATACATCGAGCTACGGCTTGGCTGAGCAGATTTACAGTTATATACATACATACACCCACATAAGTATATATATACACGTGCATATACGCCGCTATATGTACACATATGTATGTAGGTAGTTTATACCATTTAAAGCTTGCTAAGACTCGTCCTTGGGCTATTGTTTAAACGCCAGGAGACAAGCCGCGAAATCGATAAAAGAAACAGAAACCGAAACCGAAAAAAGTTGTAACATTTATTTGAGAATCGCTGGATTAAAGCCTACAGTTAATGTGTATAGTTACTTGATTATTACCGCATTCGACCCACACTGACACACTCACACACACACACACACACACTAACACCAACACCCGAATCAGAATCAGACAGGCTAAAAGCCCATATTTGTGGGTCTAAAAAGGATCGATCGAAAGTAGGGGAAGTCAATACTAAGAACGCGGCGAAGCAAAGAATGATGTTTCAGAACCGCAAAAGGCGCAGGACAGAAGCTAAGACACAATAAATGAAAAGAAACAAAGAAAAGAGAAATACATACATAAATGTTTTTAAAAAATACCATCCAATCCTTTGATTTTCCCTCTGGGCGGGAAATATTCTAAAAAGAGCAGTCTAATATTGCCATCCAAATAGGTATGCAACATATTTAGCAATACCTATCAAGATTTATCAATTATACTTACTTCCACGATTCCTACTCTGGCAGTCAAAGAGATCGGTTGTGTCGCGCGCATGCAAAAGTGATTTATTTTTTGCTTATCGGTGCATTCCCTTTTGTGCTCAAAATAGCACAAATCATTTATTTGGGCGCTGCTTTGAGCGGTGTCGGCAGTTTGACAAAAACAAAAAGTGCATCAGGTGAAGTGCATTCAAACGGTGCTTTCTGCCCTTCGGGCAAGTCATCTACCTCACCCCGCGCAGAACTGCACAAGAGGTAAACAAACTTTGCTTATCAGTAAAACCGAACTGTTTATGCTCTGTTCCGGACATTTGGGCCCGCAAATTATTTGCTGAATATTAAGACAATATAAAAACAATGAATGAAAACAGTTTCGATGACTCTCAGCTTATAAAGAAGCAGATTGATCATGAAAAAATGTTCTCAATAGCTGGAAAATTACCTAGTAAGATTAGAGACGAGTGCCGATCAGAAATTCAACGCATTACATGCAATAAGTCTCAAAGCAGTCCCACCACAACAACAGTGACATTTTCTAGTGCCAGTAGCAGCACCATATACACAATGGCAAATCCCACAATGAGCAGCATCTGTTCTGGTTCAAGTGTAGCAAACCAAGAATGTTCCCAATTGACCAGCCCCGACATTGCAGCAAAAAATCTAAGCGGTGCTGCCAGAAGATTACTGGATGATCAAAATCGGAAAGCAGGCAAGAGAAAAAATGCAAAGCCACTGTCCCCCATCCTTAAACCGAAAAGAGTGAGCAGTACCCAGGGCCCGCACTTGGTCCCCACAATTAACCAGAAGGCAAGCTCTAGTAACAGGTTTGCTATTCTCGACACGGACATCATTACTAATGAAGAAAACGGGGAAGACATGATGTCTGAGGATGCCGATGATGCTAGTGCCCGCATGGACGAATTTCAATCTGCAGAAAACAATACTGCCAATAAATCCCAGGAAACATCTAACGCCAACAATCAACTCAAAGATTTTAAAAAACCACCCCAAATTGTTGTTAATATTAGCAACTTAAATGACCTATTTGAGCTCATACAAGAAAAGGCAAGTCTAGATAACGTCGTAGTCAAAGCTAACCAAGGGGAAACAGTCAGAATATTTCCCAAAGACAGTGACACTTACAGAAAAATTGTTAGCTATATGGATGAAATTGGTATGCAGTTTCACACTTACCAAATGCTGACAGAAAAAGCACACAGAATTGTAGTAAGGGACTTACATCACAGCACACAAAACAAAGATATAACGGCCGATCTGAAATGTTTAGGCTATGAAGTACTTCACATTCACAACCCTAGTTCAAGGGTTAATAAAGATGAAAAACTCAATATTTTTTTCATTAACATTAAGCCCTGCCCTAATATTAATGAAATTTATCACGTGAAGACCCTTTGCCGACAGAAAATACGGATCGAAAGGATGCGAAAGTCTAGTGAAATTGCACAATGTCGACGTTGCCAGGAGTATGGCCATACAGCTAAATACTGCCGCAGACATCCAAATTGTGCCAGGTGTGGTGAAAATCACCAAACCACACAATGTACACGTCCTGTAGATGCTCTGCCCACATGCTATCACTGTTCTCACGATCACATGGCTAGTTATAAAGGTTGCCATAAGTACCAGGAGCTTCTCCGCAGATCTATGGGGCCTGCGAAGAAGGCGAATCACTTAAATAGGCAGAATCATGGGTTCAACCATAGAGATCAGCAACAGTTTCCTTCCGTGCAGATTAATCGCCGTAAGAGTACTAACCAGTCAACTGAAGATCAGCAACCAACACAACAACACCAAAATATGGTACAGCATCAACCATCTATAGGCCCTGGGGTAAATACAAAAGTATCCTATGCCACAGTAGCAAAAGAATACTCTAATACAACTCCCTCCAAGGATGGACCAGCTCAGCGACGTTTATATAACTTACAAACGCAACAGTTATCGCAGCAACAACGACTGAACACTCAGCAAAATAATTCACTTGACGTCCAAGCATTGTTACAACAGCAACAACAACAGTTCCAAGAATGGCAGCAGCAAATGCAACAACAACAACAACATCAGTTTCTTATGTGGTTGCAACAGCAGCAACAAGATCAGCAACATCACAGAAATCAAACCAATCAACGACTTGAAAAGCTCGAAAGAATGGTATTTGAAATAACCACCATGTTAAAGCAAGGAGCTGGGAATGAACATACCTACCAGCTTTCTAACAACGCTCCACACCCACAATGAATCCACTAAAGATTCTTATTTGGAATGCCAACGGCATTTCAAGAAAAGCTAAAGATATTGAGCTTTACGCGCACAATAATAGCGTGGACATTCTTCTTGTGACGGAACTTAGAATTAAAAGAGGGGATACTGTTAAGATATATGGTTATGCTTTCTATCCAGCATTTAGGCCATCGCAAAATAATAATAGCGTTGGTGGAGCAGCCGTGTTCGTTAGGACAACTCTTCGCCATTTCCCGCAAAGGGTCATAGAGACACGCAGCATACAAATGTCTACAGTAAAAGTAGCTACAGGACTGGGTGACGTGCAGTTCGGCGCCATTTACTGTCCTCCCAGTGTTAGTATCGACGAAAGACAATTTACTGACACAATACGCTCTTGCGGCCAACGGTATATGATTGGTGGCGACTGGAACGCCCGACACTGGCTTTGGGGCGACACCTACAATTCACCCCGGGGGCGTGAGCTAGCGGAAGCCATCTCTATCACTGGAGCTAAGATACTTGCAACTGGTTCGCCAACCAGGTATCCTTATGTACCCAGTCATACGCCTTCCTGCATTGACTTCGCGGTGCATCATGGTATACCAGATTCCCTAACAAGTATAA